TCTCTCTCTCTCTCTCTCTCTCTCTCTCTCTCTCTCTCTCTCTCTCTTTAAAAAAATAAAATAAAATAAATAAAAACATCCTCACCCCAGATCTATATAACACCTCAAATTTGGATTGCTCCTCCACACAGGTCAGTCTAATAATGACCTTGTAGATTATGCTATCCTAGAATTATGACTATTTAATTAGGTGTGAAAATATTTTTGTTAAAGCATCTTCTGTTGATGACATGGAAAACTGAATAAGATTTCATTTGTGAAAGTACTCATTTTATTGAAAATAATATTAAGCCATGGTTTGATAACAAGGAAATATAGTAACCTGCTGGCAAAACAATTGACGCAGAGCTAATGGTGTGCACCAGCACACAAGGAAATAATGTGTACCTGTTACCATTGGTTGCTGCCTGTGCTATACTAGTTAAATATTTTTAATTGCAATCCTAATTGTATAAATAGATACAACTTAAATGTTCTTGTGTTTGTGTTAAAGTGTCAAAGGTAAAGCTTTAATTTGTAACCCTACAACTCCTATTTTATGCATTATAAACTTTGGTTTAGAAACAGCAGCATTTGTTTTCTTTATGATCCTGTTAGTTCATTTTCAAAGCATACGAGCTTAACTTAATATTTTAACTGGATAGGCTTATTTCTGCTGGATAAAAAGTACATACCATTATTCTTCTATTGAAATAAAGAAGATTGAAGGACCTAAGTTTTCTTATTCAAGAACAAAATTTTAAAGGACTTAGATCATCTTAAAAGAGATTATTTGGTTTTTATCAGACATGCAAAAACCGACATGAACATGCATATACGTAAGTTTGATAAATATGCCTCCACTTTCCATGATGAATGAAAAAGATTAAAATTATAAATTCAGCAGTTTGAAACTTTCATTGCATAAGCTAATGTTTGACTTTTTTAAAGCTGAGATCTAAACTTGCCAGAAATTATCTCCTTTTTCTTATCTTTACCTTTTCTTAATAGTATGGTATGTCTAGCAATGATTTCAAACAGAAATGTCATTGTTTTCTGTACACCTTTTGACAAGGCAGGCAGTTTCACTGGGCTTAAGCAAGGAGTGATACAAACAGTCTAAGGAAGTAAAACTAATGAGCTTTAGTATAAAAAAATAAAGTGTGAAGCCAAGTTAGCAGTGGGTGAGAAAACTATATACCAAAAAAAAAAAAAAAAAAAACCCAGAAAAACAAGGGTGAGTGTGGAAAGATACACAGACATTAGTTTCCTAATATGTGTGAATATAACATAAAATACTTGCAGAAAAAAAGTGTAAAAGAGGGTGAAAAATAAATTAAGCACATGTTCACAACTGTAATTCCTCAAAGAACTCTCACCAGGCAGGCCAAGTAAAGGTCATAAGACGTTAAAGTCACTGCCCAACAGAAGTGATAGAAATTTCCATTGCAGTAACAAGTGAAGGTAGGCAGAGGCTATGAGTTGCACAGCCCCCTAGGTTACTGGCTGAGGGCAGCTCAGAGTTTCCAGTTAGGCAGTTTTGATGTCTTAAAACTGTCTTGGACTTACAGTTAATCCATAAAGAATCACAGTATGCATTACATTCCCCAGAGACAGAAAGTATGTCTAAGTGGGAAGACAGTCTTAATGTGTATTCTGAAACGAGTGTGGGACACAGAAGAAAAAAATTGATGGGTAAATACTTGAAATTTTTGAGGATTTTCTTTTCTCTCATTTAGATTTGCCCTATAATTTTCATTATTAACAAATTCACATTTGTTCTTATGCCATTATATATAGATAGATAGATATAGATATAGATATTGATATAGATATATAGATAGTAGGAGAGTTTATAACCATTTATGATCAGTGACAGAAGTTGTTTATTATCTTAGACTCTTCTACCTTAATTTTACTACTCTGAATATTTTTCCTTCCTACCTCTTTAGTATGATATTGGAATCATAAATGAATCATTTTAAAAAGTAAAACCCAGATTACCAGATTGATTTAATTAACAACCACTAAATGAGTGGTTCAAATCAAAACTTCACTTCTAAAGCAGCTCTTCTGTGATGTCCATTTAGCATTTTTCACCCAGGTGGTCTCCAGGAAACACAGCTTCCACTTCCCTATGATTACAAGTGGAGGCAAGAGGGTCTCACGGTTCTTCCTCAGAAAACAGTGGACTGTGTTTTTTCCCCTTCAGGCTTCTCCGTCTACAAAGAAGAAAAGAATTGTCATACACAAGAAAACCACAGTAATTTTTAGGCTTTTCTATTAATTTTCTGATGATCTTCTATGAGGAAATTCTACAAGGTCATAAAGCATAACTGTTCTGTCTGCTTAAATATCATTTCCCTCAACTTCATCCTCCATAGAAATAGCAGAAAAAACTCTCTAATGATTCCTTTCCTCTTCAGAAAAAAGCCCAACCTTCCTCACAGAACCATCATGTATAGCCTTTGCCTACATCCATCCTGTCTTCCCATCTCACAATTATATGCCAATAATACAGAATTATCACACATGCCATTTATTGCTTTCATGGCTGGATTTGCATCTCTTCTTCCATTATACCTAACTCCTCATACCCAAACAATTCAGTGTCTCCTTTCTGGATTCCTTCCCTGAAAATGGTCTCTCCCACTGTGTCACAGGGAGTGCTACATCTCCATTCTCCTGCATGTTCTAATAACCAGTGCCTACCGCCATCACTCCTTTTGCCATGTTGTATTTTAATTGAGTACTTATCTGTCTTCATTATCATTCAATGTTCTGGAGGGCAGGGACTTTATGATTTCTTTAAGTTCCATGCCTTGATAGATATACTAGTACATAATAGACACTAAATAAATGTTCCTGGAATGAAAACAAATATATAAAAAGTAAGCTCAGCTGAACCATCCAAATTTAAAGTCTGATTCAACTTTGCTGATCTATCCCCATGGATTTGCTTGCCTCAATCGTACTCTCCTAACTCTCCTTTACCTTCACTTCTCTGTTGGATTCTATCTTGAGTTTCTTTGGTTTGGTTTTGGTTTTGGTTTATGTATTTTCATTTTTTTGTTTTGTTTTGTTTGGTTGCATTTTAATCAAACCTTGTCTGCTTTCTATTTTTAGTTAATACTGGATTAAAGTTGGTGAACTTACATGGATTAAATGGTTTGTGAAAATTACACCACGATTTAGGTTTTAAAAACTGCCCTGGAATAATTGTAAATACTATGATGTTTGAATAATTAACATAAAATTCCTTCATCATATGCATATGCATCTATTTGGTCACCTGCTGATTCAAAATTGATATCACCCCATGAATTGGTATTATTGACTCTTAGTTTTAGTTTATGATAATCCATTGAGATTTCAAAATTCTGTAGTTTTAGAGTTAGGTTTTATCAACTTCTTTTCTTCCACCTCAAATTTTTATGACTATCTTTTCCCCCTACAATTAAGGTATAGGGACAAATAACATATCAGAGGGAAGAACATTTTGATTATTTGTAAAGCACCTGAGTAAATGGTACCTGATTTTTTTTAAACAGGATTAAAGCTAAGATGGCCATCCTTATGGTAGTTTTTAGTATCTGAAAGTAAAGACCTTCAATACCCAAGATACAAAACAAAAGCCAATCATATATTACATTGCAAGGAAAGCAAAAGGCAAAACACACAAATCAAGCAGAAGAAAAGCATAATGGCAGAAATAAAATAATCATTCACCTTCTTTGTGGTGTGTGTGTGTGTGTGTGTGTGCGCGCGCGCACGCGTGCGTGCATAACAGAAACAATGAGAGAGACATTTTAGGATTCTCCTTATCTCAGGCTAAACTCACAAAGGGAACAGTATTACCTTGACCTTTTCCAGACTTGGTTAAAAATAGATTTTTTTCACCCATAACCATTCACTGTCAGAAAGTGTTTTTGTTTTCGTTTTTTTTAATTTGAATTCTGTAAAATTATATTTGAATTTACCAGTTAGCCATTCCAGATGATATGCCTCTGTTTTTGCTGGCTTGAGACCAAGTGACTGTCAGTTATTATCTACTTCAATCACACTTGAACAAAGTACACTCAATAATAACTAGCAGGAAACAGTGCAACTGGATTCTAATGCAAACAGAAAATCTGAACATTATTTCATTTTCTTTAGGATTTTTCACAGACTTTAGTGAAATTATTACTAAATACCAGTGGCACTCATTGAGTTAGACAGTCTACTTGTTCTATCGGCACCTATTTGCGTCCTTTGTACTGATTTTGCAGAGACACAAAATAAATTGCCTGCTTGAGTTTAAACTCTTTACCTTTAGGCATTTTCCCTACTATTGCCTCCCTCCCTCCCTCCCTTTTTTAATCCTTGCAAAGTTAGACACCATAGAAAAACTGTTATTTGCCTCATAATGGCCTCTTCAGTGTGTTTCACAGTCTTTTGTGGAAAATAATGACATAATGATAGTGTTCTCAGACCTATATTTTCTACTTGATAAACCAGCAATTATATGATTAAAGCATTTTTAGAAACTCACATTAAGTATATGATACTCTAGAAACCAGTCCATCATACTAATTACACAGTCAGAGAGAAATAATTTACATGACTAAAAACCATCTGAAACAGTATTTGTGACTAGTATGGATAAAAAAATAAGAAGTATGAAATAATTCTATTTATAATATACTTTTTAATGTTAGGACTATAAATTTGGTATTTTGAAAATCTGGTTTCAACCTTTATTTTCTGTCATTAGTAACAGGAAATTGTGCTAAACTCTGCTGGAAACATGTTGGGTGCAATAGGAATCTGATTATTTCTCTACAAAAAAACATGTACTTGCAGACAACAGAGACAGGTGAGCAATGCCCAGGCATTTACGATCTGTGATGAGCAGCAATTTTTGCCCAGGACTTTTCTTAGATACATCACAATGGCAAATTTGACTAGACTTATGATTTTCTTGAATGTCATATCATTATACCAACATTATGATGAGCCGGGAGAGAAGTATCTGTATACACATAATTTTCCTCAGAAAACAGAAAACCCATTTAACAGGATGCACAGCATGTTATGAGGGATTTACCCTTAAGACCTAAATATCCTAACAAGTACAGTTTTGCATTGTTTTGCTTAGCTTTTTGAAGCACCAGCGACTCTGCTTTATTTCCAGTTCATTGAGAAAGAAAAAAGAAGTTACAGTGCTCAACCTCAGAACCAACCCTTCAAAGGGATGATCTCACAGGATGACGTGGACAAATAATGGGTTACGAATATAAAACATAAAATAAACCTATGTAAGAATACACAAGACGTGTACAATAGGGCTAACCTGTTTGTGGCCAAGGGTGCATGTAAATTAAATATGGTACAAGGAAGAGAAGACTTTTCATAGTTATATGTATCACCCATTCAAAAACTATGTCAACCTTAAAGAAGCAAAGGAGTCTTGATCTCTGTGCGGAATGGGCACTATGGAGAGTGAGTATACCCTATGCTATGGTAAAGCTTTAAGAGTGAAACTCACTCCTGAGTTCGATCTCCTCACCACAAGGAAAAAAGAAAACGAAGGTGAAAGTCACCAAGCTTAGATGCCTTTCACTGTTGATTTATTCCACCTCTACCACAATCCCTTGAGGACATTGGTTTCTATGTCTTCTATATCCAAAGAAGTTGAAAACACACCACATTTTATGTTATAAGGATAGTAACAGAGCAGAATCAGACCACCACAGGGCATTCTTCAGGTGTCCAAAGTCCAGTGATCAGCATAACAATAAATATATTTGACAGTGCCTGGGAGAGATGGTAAGGAAACCAGCCATGGCCAACAACTAATTGAGATCCTTCAGCTTAACCCCAGCCCTTGTCAGTGAGGCATCCATTCTCAAAGTCTCTGCCATTTAAAGCACTGCAAGGAGCTGAGGATTAAAAACCAAGATAGCCAACAAAGTATAGGTACCAGACATATCTGCAGTTACCTGTTTCTTCCAGATCTACACTTCTTGGGTCATTCATTTTGTGACTAAGGAAACATTCACCTTGATATTAGGAAACGAGGTAAAGGAATGATTACTTTGTCAGTCATTTGTGCAAAGGATAATGTGAAGAGATACTGCAACAATGGAGTAAATCATCACAGAGCCACCCCACACAGAGCCACCCCACACAGGACATTGCCACTCCGCCAGAGCAGTGGGTAGCAGGGGAAGAGAGGATCATCAGTTGTACTTTGCTGTCCCTTAGCTGGTGAAGAGCTGATTTCAAGATTAGGAGTTAGTAGGACTAGGATTCCAGTCTTCTGAGTTCAGGTTCACTGCTGCTTATGCCAGGCATTTTCTTTACTACCTGTTTCTCCTCCACAGATAGCAAAGACTTTCCATTGTGTGCTGCAAAGCTCACACCAGAAGTGAGACACATGTTACTTCATAAAGTTTTCGGCTACTCTGAGAGAGGAGTAAAACAAAAACATGCTGGTCTTTTTTTGTTTTGAGGTTTTTCTTGTTTGTTTTGTCTCTAATGAAATTTCTTTGTAAAGGTCAAAACTATTTAAAAAAAAGAACTACTGTGTTTTGCAAAATGAAACATAAACATTGATTAGAACATTCGAATTTCAACTCAGAATGTATGAACACTGCCTCCTGTGAATTTGGTATTCAGCTGAAACTACTGATACAAAGCCAGTCTGACCTTATCAACTTATATCTTAAAATGTTTACAGGAAAAAATACTGAACTTTTCTTTCTTCTAACTCTACCCAACCATATTTCTCTCACCTTCATGGTTACAATAGAAGGCAATGGGACAGCATCAATATCACACACTGGAGAGAAAGAGCCAAAACCTGATGGGAAAAACAAAGTATACTGTAGTTTTGAACTATTTAAATTACATTGAACTATTTAAAATACATGCATGCATACCCCCTTGCCTTGAGGAAGTCTTCTGATTTTGTTTGCATGTACTTTGGTATGTTCTGGTGGAATTCTCAAGCACACTAGCTCTGAGGCCTTTAGTGTGAAAGCTGGTGGTCTGAGGCCAGACAGTCTACTCTGTTGTCCCTCATTTTCTGTGCTTATGTTACACTGAAAAAAGTTTTAATGGTTTGGTGTAAATAGAGCAAGATTAAAAAGAAAGCCTTTCTAAAGAGACTTTCAGAAAGTTAAAGACAACAATCATTACATTAAAAATTCCATCATTAGTGCCTTAATACTATGACCTATCATAAAAATGCTATTTTAATTGTCTTATCATCTATTTAAATGTTTTGTGTTTATTGTTATTCCCAGCAGCTAACAATGAGAAAAAAAGCAGCAATGAACTCAGTTTGAGACCATTTTTTTACTGCAAATCATTACTAATGAGCTCTGAAGAACATGTTGCTGACCCTATTTCTTTTGTAATTTCATAAAATTATTAGTAATGCTTATTACAAAGTACATATAAAGCAAATATACATGTGTATATGCATATCTTAACAGATAAACTTTAATCCAAAAAACAAAGCTGTTTTGTTTTTAGTTTTTTCTTTTCCATAAGACAAACTGTGCTTAATGAACTTTACTAAAATTTCACAGAACTCAAAAGAGAACACAATGAAGAATGCAGACCCTGCATATGGAGATGTGTATGCAAGAAGTGGACTGCCTTTTAACCTCAGTGTGATTGAGAAGCTCTGTGCCAACAAAGTACTGGACTTTGTAATGAAACCCCCTTTCTTCACAGAAAAGTCTCAACTGGATTTCTCCAGAAATCTTCACCATGGCTGATTTTAGGACTATCAGCAAAAGAATCTCTACAAAAGAGTTAATGTAGATAAACTTGCGATTTTTGTGTTGCCCTGTTTTACTTGGCCAGTGGCCGGGAAGAAATCAGCACTCCAGTTGCCGGACACCCCCTTTCTAGTTTTTCACAAACATGTATCCAGTATAGTAGTTTGTAGAAATGTATAAACAAGGCCTTTGGCCTTGAGCTGGGGCTTCACAGAGATGTCTACATTTCTAAGATAAGAGAAGTTACCAATTGGGCTCCATGGTAACAGCTAGCAGGGGGAGGAAAGAAAGGGGAGAAGAAGCTCTCCCCTTCTCAGATGTTGTCCTTGAAGGGTTAACTTGCCCAGAACAGTGAAAGGAAGAAAAAAAATCTGCTTTTATGTGAACTTCTACAGACTGTGAACTTCTGAGCCCCTCCTCTTACATGCTGGGTATGAAATTCTGAAACTACCTGAACTCGGGGTTCAGGGGATGGATTGATTACGGCAAAAGCTGTGCCCTTTGAACCTGGCTGCAGCCAAAAAAGAAAACTGTTTCCTGCTATCTTCAGTGCCTTGCCTTGTCTGTCCCTACAACAACTTAAAGTTAGGAAATGCAGGCCCAGCCCTGGTGGGTTACTAGGGTATGCTGAGGACTCCAGTGCTCACCTTTCATACTTTAACATGGATATAATAGCTTTTATTTTATGAGGCACTTGGAAGAATTAAATTTAGAATATTAGCAAACACCTAATGATGATATATAAAATATCCATTTTATTTTTAATATCAGAACTTTAATGCCAAATATGTCATTAAGATTCCAGTATATTGATTCAAATATCTCAGATATCTATTTCTAAAGGTAATACAAAAAAATAGATAGGTAATTATATGAATTTTTATTTCATTATATTGTTGGAAAAAGAATGCAGATGATATTTGTATTCAAGGGAGAGCAAATTATTTGTGCTTATCTCAAAGATAAGTGTTCATTTCCTCCTACTACTTATCAGACAAGACACAAAATGTTCATCACCTACCCCTGCTGGTGTTCAATTTTGCTAATATTTCAATGAAATTGACACAGATGCAACAAATAGGTTGAAAATCATAACCTAGAGCTTATACCTATTATAATATTAACTAATAGTAATATAATGGTAATTTTAATGCATTTATATTACTATGTAATTTTATCATATGTCATATGCTATATTTTTCTAAGTATTCCACAACTGGAACAATGGAACAAAATTCTAGAATCTCATGATGTCAGACTCACCAGTTACCTCTGTGACCTCTAGTAAGTCACCTAATCTTTTCCAGTTTCTTCACTATGAAATGTGGATAGTAATAGTACCTCTGAAGACTGCTGTGAATGATCTAACAAGTTATCCCAGGTTTAGAGCTTAGTGCCATGTCTGACACACAGGAAGGACTCAATAAATGCTTGTTGTTACAATATGACTGTATATTTCTATACATGAGCATTTTGGACATGCTGACCAATTCCCACACTATATTTGTAAAGAACAAAAAGATTACCATCTATCCAGATTCATTTTCTTTTCTGAGTTAGGGCATGTTTCCCTGTAGTTTATTCAGATGAAATCTAAGTGATTTCTGCTTTCAAGGTCAATTTGATTACCCAAATCATTTGACCCAGAAAATCTGTAATATACTTTAATAGCTTTATGGCCTCATATTCGTAAGAGGCCTAGTAAAGTTTTATTCCAGATTTTTGACATATAACTTCATTTCTTCATTCATCTTTTTTAAAAAAAGGGATTATATGAAACCCCTATCACAATCCAGGCACTAAATTAACTTGTGGTATACAAAGTTAAGCAAAATTTTAAATGCAATGTCTGCATACATGCAGTATGGAAGAGAACTTTTCATCAGAGTCATTACATAAACAAATCTAAAATTCCAACTGTAGCAAGTGATCTAAAGGAGAAAACCAAAATGCTAGGGGACTATATATAGTTCTTTGTGTGTGTGGGATTATTGGGGATTGACTCAGGACCACTCAACCATTGAACAACATCCCCAGCCCTATTTTGTATTTTATTTAGTGACAGGGTCTCATTGAGTTGCTTAGCACCTCACCATTGCTGAGGATGGCTTTGAACTCTTGAACCTCCTACCTCAGCCTCCCAAGCTGCTGGGATTACAGGTGGTTTTAAAGGAGAAGAACAAATTATTTTGGTGAATAAAGCTACTCTGGAGAAATGAAAATTGAGTTGAAGAAAAGGTTAGGGTACAAAGTGTGAGCAACTGTGCTCCAAGCACAGGGACATGTGTAGATAGGAGGGTTTCTAAAGGACCCTAGAGAAGGAAGGGGAGGCTGTAGTTTAGAGGAGAAGAATGACGTGAATGAGATGAGGCTAGAGGAGTAAACCAAGCCACCCAAACCTGTCCAAGAGTTCGTTTATCTGATCCTAAGCACAAAGGGTAGCCACTGGAGAATTTTAAGCATGATCATGCCTCAGTTTTGAGGAAAGGAAGTGGGTGATCTGACTCTACGTGAGTTCTGTGAAGACACTTTGGAGATTAGAGTAATTGTGGAGAAACCAGTTAAGAGGCTGTTGCCAGGCTTCAAAAGAGAGAAAGCAGAGGCATAGTTAGATTAGGGCAAGTGAGCTAGAGATTTTGCAAGAGATGGAGACAGAGCTTGGTTTTCATAAAACATTCACTCTTCCCTGTCATTGCCCAGGCTCATTTTTTCATGTAAAGATATTTTCATTCTGAAATAGTCTAAAGAATCCAAGGAAAGGTTAATAGTGGGTAAATGATTCCACATACACTTGAAGTCATGAAGAAAAATTTCTGAATAATCTGTATTGTTTCCTCCTAGGTGAGAGTCTGTTGGTATTGCTATAAAACAGCATTTCCTTTGAGAATAACAAAGAAAACAGTTTCCATTGAAACACATTTTTATTATGAAAATGATATAGGTAATAATCATTTACAAGAAATTAGATTAAAAAGTAGTAACAATTTTAAATCAAAACTGAAAGAAAGGAAAACACTTCCACGAACTTTGGAATCTGCAGAACAAATAGCTGCTGTCTCTGGGAGAAGAGCTCCCATATTTTGGCGACTAAGCAACCGTGCTTTTATGTGTGATAACCAAAGCACCATCCTCCTTAAACGGTAAATGAATGAAAACGAACACGTGCGCGTACCCACACACACATACACATGCATTCCTAACATATAAGTCACACATCCCAAAGGATTAGGTAGAAAAACAAAAGGAATGGTACATCTTCCTTGCACAAAACCAAGACATAGAAACATCTATTACAATTTTCTCTATGATAAATTACATCTCGCCCCCTAAAAGAAAAAAAAATCAAATCATTGGCAGTCTAATTCTCCCAAAGTAGAAGTGAGACATTAATTTAGATCATTGTGCACGTTGAAAACTTACTGCACTGCAGGGATTTCCAATTACATAATGCAGAATCAGAACTCTGTTTGGGTGCCACTTGGCTGCCAACAGCCATGGGTGAGCTGTGTAACACTCCTCTGTCATGTAGCTCATGTGAGAAAAGAATTCTGCTGTTCCAAGAAATGGCACTCATCTTGGAGACCTTCCCAGTCACACAAAAGAGCATAATTTCCACATTATCCCCAGGCATACTGTCTAGGATGATAAGTCTATGATAGCTTTATGTGTAAATTATATACACAGTTCTACTAATGAAAGCCACATGGACTGCTTTTTGGAGGTGGCAATGCAGAAAAACAGAATCAATTTGTTCCTCTGTTTTTATAAAATGATACCTAAGCTATCTACAATCATCAACAGAGACTGTGAGGGTTAGACGGTAGATAGGGTAATTGCACTGTGATTATTTGTAGATCAGGACTGGAGTTGGCAAGCAGTATCAAAAAGGTGCAGACTTAACTGGCTTATTGCAGTATTTTGGTTTTAAGTCCTTCAGACTTTTAATCTGGTACTTAACTCTGTTTTTCATCAGGGACTGCACTCTTTTTTGCATTGTGTTTTAATTTTTCTCTACATGAACACATACTTGCAAAAGAGACAGGAAGTAAAGGACAGATGAATATTTTCTTATAT